TGGCCAAGTGCAAGTTTGCATCCTTGTGGCGCATCGGCTGAGCTCTGAGCTCCAAGGTTTTTCTGACCGGTTTCCAGAAAGAATTGTCCTGGAAGTAAAGCCTGGGTGAGTCGGGTCGCCAGCCAAACCATTAGTTCGCAAGAGTTGTTCGCATCGTCCCTGCGCTTGTCGACATCGTAGCATCCTCTGCATTACCAAAGCTGCGGATGACTGTCATGATAACTATCATCGTAGCATCCTCTGCATTACCAAGGATGCCTAACGCCACATTTGATATGTATATAGAAGAAAGATAGAAGAATAGGAGGAAGAGATGATGATGATGATGATGACAAGCATGATGACGATGATGAAGGCGATGACTATGATGACAATCATCATGAAGATGATAAGGATGATGACTCTTATCATAACTATCATCGTAGCGTCCTCTGCGTTACCAAAGCTGCGGATGACTGTCATGATAACTATCATCGTAGCATCCTCTGCATTACCAAGGGTCATGATGACGATGACGAAGGCGATGACTATGATGACAACCATCATGAAGATGATAAGGATGATGACTCTTATGATAACTATCAGCGTAGCATCCTCTGCATTACCAAAGCTGCGGATGACTGTCATGATAACTATCATCGTAGCATCCTCTGCATTACCAAGGACGCCTACTACCGCATTTGAAATGTATATAGAAGAAAGATAGAATAATATGATGATGACGATGATGAAGGACTATGATGACAATCATCATGAAGATGATGAGGATGATGACTCTTATGATAACTATCATCGTAGCATCCTCTGCATTACCAAAGCTGCGGATGACTGTCATGATCACTATCATCGTAGCATCCTCTGCATTGCCAAGGGTGCCTAGCGATGATCATGACTACGCATCACTATCGAAACGGCACCTCGCCTCAGATGCCATTTGTGTCATTGAGATTTGGAGTCCTGCCTTGATGATAATCATCACTACGCATCATTCGCAAGAAACCAAAGAAACCAAAACCAAGGGCAGTGTTTTTGGTTGCTCGAAAACCACAACTAAATCCAGGGGTCGGCGGCACTGGGCGGCAGCCCTTGAACAAGAATGAGATGATGATGAGCATCATGATGATGATGAGAAGAGCGATGACATCATAATAAGGATGATCATGATGATGATTATGATGATAACTATCATCGTAACACCCTTTGCATCACCAGTGCTGCCTAATAAGAGATGATGATGACCGTGATGATAATGATGACAAGGATGAGGACTGTGATGATAACTATCATCGTAGCATCCTCGGCATCACCAGTGCCGGCTACTAAGAGACGATGATGACCATGATGATTACGATGACAAAGATGAGGGCTGTGATGATATATATCATCGTAGCATCCTCGGCATCATCAGTGCCGGCTAACAAGAGATGATGATGACCATGATGATAGTGATGATAAGGATGAGGACTGTGATGATAACTATCATCGTAGCATCCTCTGCATTGCCAATGGGGTCTAACGTTACTTTTGAAATGCAATAAGAATAAGAATAAGAACAAGAATGAGATGATGATGATCATCATGATGATGATGAGAAGAGCGATGACATCATAATAAGGATGATCATGATGATGATTATGATGATAACTATCATCGTAACACCCTTTGCATCACCAGTGCTGCCTAATAAGAGATGATGATGACATCCTCGGCATCACCAGTGCCGGCTAATAAGAGATGATAATAACCATGATGATAGTGATGATAGGATGAGGACTGTGATGATAAGTATCGTCGTAGCATCCTCTGCATTGCCAATGGGGTCTAACGTTACTTTTGAAATGCATATAAGAATAAGAACAAGAATGAGATGATGATGATCATCATGATGATGATGAGAAGAGCGATGACATCATAATAAGGATGATCATGATGATGATTATGATGATAACTATCATCGTAACACCCTTTGCATCACCAGTGCTGCCTAATAAGAGATGATGATGACCGTGATGATACTGATGACAAAGATGAGGACTGTGATGATAACTATCATCGTAGCATCCTCGGCATCACCAGTGCCGGCTACTAAGAGACCATGATGACCATGATGATTACGACGCGAAAGATGAGGGCTGTTATATCATCGTAGATTCCTCGGCATCATCAGTGCCGGCGAACCAGAGATGATGATGACCATGATGATAGTGATGATAAGGATGAGGACTGTGATGATAACTATCATCGTAGCATTACTTTTGAAATGCGTATAAGAATAAGAATAAGAATATGAACAAGAATGAGATGATGATGGACATCATGATGATGATGAGAAGAGCGATGACATCACAATAAGGATGATCATGATGATGATTATGATGATAACTATCATCGCAACACCCTTTGCATCACCAGTGCTGCCTAATAAGAGATGATGATGACATCCTCGGCATCGCCAGTGCCGGCTAATAAGAGATGATAATAACCATGATGATAGTGATGATAAGGATGAGGACTGTGATGATAAGTATCGTCGTAGCATCCTCCGCATTGCCAATGGGGTTTAACGTTACTGTCGAAATGCATATAAGAATAAGAACAAGAATGAGATGATGATGATCATCATGATGATGATGAGAAGAGCGATGACATCATAATAAGGATGATCATGATGATGATTATGATGATAACTATCATCGTAACACCCTTTGCATCACCAGTCCTGCCTAATAAGAGATGGTGATGACCGTGATGATACTGATGACAAGGATGAGGACTGTGATGATAACTATCATCGTAGCATCCTCGGCATCACCAGTGCCGGCTACTAAGAGACGATGATCCTCGGCATCACCAGTGCCAGCTAATCAGAGATGATGTGTGATGATAACTATCATCGTAGCATCCTCGGCATCACCAGCGCCGGCTAATAAGAGATGATGATGACCTGATGCTAGATGATAAGGATGAGGACTGTGATCATAACTATCGTTGTAGCATCCTCTGAATTGCCAATGGTGTCTAACGTAGCATCCTCGAAATCACCAGGGCGGCCCGAGACTTACCCCACGGGCCCAGTATCCCTAGCACTCCTTGTGCCGAAAAGTAAGGGGCTCATTTTTTGAGATACCCAAGCCTAAATGAGTCCCCTGTGTGGAGAACAAGAATGAGATGATGATGAGCATCATGATGATGATGAGAAGAGCGATGACATCATAATAAGGATGATCATGATGATGATTATGATGATAACTATCATCGTAACACCCTTTGCATCACCAGTGCTGCCTAATAAGAGATGAATAATGATGACAAGGATGAGGACTGTGATGATAACTATCATCGTAGCATCCTCGGCATCCCCAGTGCCGGCTACTATGAGACGATGATGACCATGATGATTCCGATGACAAAGATGAGGGCTGTTATATCATCGTAGCATCCTCGGCATCATCAGTGCCGGCTAACCAGAGATGATGATGACCATGATGATAGTGATGATAAGGATGAGGACTGTGATGATAACTATCATCGTAGCATTCTCTGCATTGCCAATTGGGTCTAGCGTTACTTTTGAAATGCATATAGGAATAAGAACAAGAATGAGATGATGATGATCATCATGATGATGATGAGAAGAGCGATGACATCATAATATGGGTGATCATGATGATGATTATGATGATAACTATCATCGTAACACCCAATAAGAGATGATGATGACATCCTCGGCATCACCAGTGCCGGCTAAAAAGAGATGATAATAACCATGATGATAGTGATGATACGGATGAGGACTGTGATGATAAGTATCGTTGTAGCATCCTCTGCATTGCCAATGGGGTCTAACGTTACTTTTGCAATGCAAATAAGAATAAGAACAGGAATGAGATGATGATGATTATCATGATCATGATGATGAGAAGAGCGATGACATCATAATAAGGATGATTATGATGATGATTATGATGATAACTATCATCGTAACACCCTTTGCATCACCAGTGCTGCCTAATAAGAGATGGTGATGACCGTGATGATACTGATGACAAGGATGATGACTGTGATGATAACTATCATCCAGTGCCGGCTACTAAGAGACGATGATCCTTGGCATCACCAGTGCCAGCTAATAAGAGATGATGATGACCATGATGATAATGATGACAAGGATGAGGACTGTGATGAAAACTATCATCGTAGCATCCTCGGCATCACCAGCGCCGGCTAATAAGAGATGATGATGACCTGATGCTAGTGATGATAAGGATGAGGACTGTGATCATAACTATCGTTGTAGCATCCTTTGCATTGCCAATGGTGTCTAACGTAGCATCCTCGGCATCACCAGGGCGGCCCGAGACTTACCCCACGGGCCCAGTATCCCTAGCACTCCTTGTGCCGAAAAGTAAGGGGCTCATTTTTTGAGATAGCGCCCCCTGCGCCCAAGCCTAAATGAGTCCCCTGTGTGGCAGCTACAATGGGCCAGAGCGGGGCGTTAAGCCCCAATCTTCAGGGGCCGGGAGGGCAGTCATCATGATCATCATGTCCACGCAGCTTTTGCATGTCAAACCCTCTCTGACGCCACAATTGAAACGTATATCAAAAAATAAGGATGATGGCGAGGATGATGATGTTGAAGGATATAGAAATGATGATGATGATGATGATGATGATGATGATGATGATGATGATGATGATGATGATGATGATGATGATGATGATGATGATGATGATGATGATTGACGATAAGAATGATGAAGGATCATATCGATGATGATGATGATGATGATGGGCATCCGTATGATGCCAGTAGTCATATGCTTGCCTCAAAGATTAATCCATGCGCTTGTACTGCAACCACCCTTCCCGTGCGCCTCCCCCTTTGAGGAGAAGGGGTCGGCGGACTTACGCGTTTGACAACCAAGGGCGAATGACTGCCCTTGCTTCTTGCATTGTGTCCGGCCTACTTGCAGTGCGGCATGCAACTTTGCCGTGTACAGGATCCCATCCAGAATGATGGCAAAGAGGACGGAGGTTTTGGTTGGCCGACCCGTGCTCCTTCATTTGCATCTGCAGATTCGGGAGCTGTGGAGCAGGTTTGCGCGTCCCTGATGTGAAGCTGACATGCAGCTGCCTATAAGCACGCTGGATGCCAAAGGAAGTTTCGCCCAAACGAACTTAGTTTTATTAGGCAATTGCTCAAAGGTAATCAGGCAAGGGCCCAATGAGGAGAATTGTGCTGAATGCAAGATGTGCGAGAAGAATCTCGATTTGCATGTTTGAAGTCTTGATACTTCGCCAACTCATCGACAGCATTTCGAGATTTGCGCAGACCCTGTCCATCTTGTAGGACAGCGCCTTGAAATAGAGCCACTGCTGATGCCCCATTCGATTTCCATTTGCCTTCAACCTTCAGCATCCAGCGCCACCAGCGCTATCTTGGGTTCGGGACATAATATGATGTGTCAGAACAGGGGGACCACCATAGTTTCGCGGTTTCCCTATTGGGTTCCCTATAAACCGGACCCAACACAAGGTATGAAGTCTAATGGAGGACCCCCTGAGAAGGGTTAGGTGGACATACAAACCCTGATGTCCACCAAAGGGTCCCCAAGACAGACGCGTCGCAGGTTGTCCGGCGAGACATGATCTGGCGGAAGCGGAAGCAGAAGAGCCTGGCCGAGGTGAGAGGGGTCTAAGTCCAAGGTGACTCTTATGGATTCTTTGAGGATGTAGGCGGATACTACCGGGCACCCCAGAGAAGGTGGTTTTGTGCCGGTTCTCCCTTAATCCAACCTTTAAAGGGGCACCCTCAAATCCACAAACCCATGGGGAATAAAAGTACATGTTTCCAAAGAGAGCTTTTGATGGTCATCAAGAGCAATCCCAATTGCCCAGACGTTCTTTCTTTCTGGCTGCTGATGCCCTCTAAGGTGTCAATTGCTTTCAATCCCTACAACTGACTGGAGGCTACCCCAAAGGGTACGTCCCATGTCCGGGCAAAGACCCAGCCAACTGTTGGCCGAGCTCAACTCAGGTTCGAGCGGCCTAGCCAAAGAGGCCGACCCAAACTTGGTTTGACCCCCCGAGCGTATCAGCCGATCCAGATCGAATATCTCGTTTTGAAAGTTCCAAACAAATTGTTCTACGTGAGGTCCATATTGTTGAGAGAGAGAGAGAGAGAGTGAGCCCCATATCTCCCCACTTTTGGAGATTTTGAAAGACACCCAACCTCCTTCTACTTTTGAGATTCGTTTTGAAAGACCCAAATGTCCACCCTTTCGAAAATTCCAATGTTTTGGAGACGGTTTGAGCCAAAGCTCTTGGCCTTTGGCTAGGTCAATCGGACCTCCTCGGGTGCTGCCAAGCGCGCCCAGCAGATGCGAGTCTCCGCGTCTGGGGGTCTGTGGCGGCCCCCGGGGGTGAGGCTGGGCGATGGTCGAGCTTGGAACACTTGAAAGGGAAGGGAAGCTTGGAACCTTGTGAGCTACAAATGAGCACTATCTCGAGAATGGCCTTCCCGAGAAGTGAAAGTAGATGCCACAATCGCCGTTACCAACATAAAAGGGAGTTGCGCCATCTACTTTCTCCTTGGTTGCTGCTTTTGCTGCCCCGCTTCGCTGACTCTCCTATGTATTAGATCTTTTGATGGTCTATTCATGGTGGTTTTGGGCGTCCTTCCTGTGTCGACATCGGAATAGTCAATCTGATGAATCCAAGTGAGGGATGCCCTCTGAAATCGGACGCCCCACCAAAATGTCAACCGGGTGTCTCCAAATGGGAAGTCGCCGGAACGATAGGTTTGCTTTCGGTTTCTCTTAAGTACCAATCGAAAGAGGATTCACCCATGTGGGGGGGCATCTTGTTTGGCTCCCAGTTGAAATCAACCCTGATATTTCCATCTTTGGTGGTTTCCTTTGGGTGGGGTCGTACCAAATGGGGAATTGGGAAACCCTGACTTGGAGACGCTCTCAGGTCAGCTTCCCACTTAACAAAAGCATCACCCCTTCCGCATGGCGGGTTTTCCAGCTCCACAAGCAGCCATTCCAAAAGTCTGGTTTGTTTGCTCAGAACAAGGAGGGCATGTCCACAACATTCCAACCCTCCCCTTTCCCGGAAAGGAGTTTCCCTGATCCGAGACTCATGTGTTACAAAGGGAGGTTCCAGGCGGGGCAGTGCAGGATAGCCAACATTCATTTGGAGTGGCGCTGATGTTTGACAAGGATGATGGAATTGGAAAATCGAG